TATTAGGACACTTGGAAATTGGGAGCGCCCTATAAACCCGATTTTGTTGTAGGTTTTAACAGATATCACAAAGTTTTAAATTTTCAAATGGTTAAGTTTCAATCACCACTACAACAAAATTGAGTTTATAGGACACCCCCAATCCCTAAACGTCCCAACAGACTGTTTTATAAGACTTAATCTATATGACTAAAATATAAAGTGTCATATCTAAAGGTATTGTAATAAGTTTATATTAGGCTTTTGGGAGTCTTAACAACTTTTTTATAACATTTTTAATGCAAAGTGTCGCATTAGCAACTTTATAGGACATTTTATCAAAAGTGTCCTATAAACCCAATTTTTTATAGGACACTTGTTTTTATAGGACAATTTTTCAAATAGTGTCCTATAAAGTTGATAATTAGACACTTTATATTAAAAGTGTCCTAAAAACCTTATTACGACGTCAAAAAACGTCATATAAACTTATTACAACACATTTAGATATGACATTTTATTGTTTTGGTCATATAAACTAATTCCTATAAAGAGGTCTATTATGACACTTATAATTTTAGAGTGTCCTATAAACCCGATTTTGTTGTAGTGAATATTATAGAGGATTTGACAAAAATTCTTAAAAACCATCTTTTATATATGAAAGTACTGTTTATTGATACATATTACTTAAAATTCAAGATTACAAGTAAATTATACGTAAATACAACTTATTAAGCTTCATGTTTGAATTCGTTTAACTAACATTCCTGCAAACCAAACGCACCCTTAAAGAAGTACACAAACATTATCCTTACAATAATTTCAACTTTTCAATTATTAATATTACTTTTTTGTAAAGGGTGTGCCGACACTTTTGCAATTTGCAAATATAAACCATAATTTTCATCTAATAAAATAGGAATAAATATTTTTATATAATCAAGAAAATTTCAAATAACATGTACCAATCATAAATTTGTCGTCTTAAAAAATATTTAAAAAAGAAATAAACATGAAGATTCATGTTTATATGACGTTTTTTGACGTCGTAATAAGTTTTTTTAGACATAATATAAAGCGTCCCATTAGCAACTTTATAGTTAACTATTTGAAAAACTGTCTTATAAAAACAAATGTCCTAAAAAAATTGAGTTTATAGGACACTTTCTCAGAAGTGTCCTATAAAGTTGCTGGTGCGACGCTTTGTATTAAAAATGTTCTAAAAAACTTGTTAAAACGTCCAAAAACGTCATATAAACTTATTACAACACATTTAGATAGGATGGTTTATATTTTGGTCATGTAAATTAAGTCTTATAAAACGATCTATTGGGACGCTTAGATATTAGAGGCATCCTATAAACCCAATTTTGTTGTAGTGTCAAGTCCCACAATATTAGTGTTCTTGATTTCTCATTGTACACTACAACAAAATTGGGTTTATAGGACACCCTCAATCTCTAAGTGTCCCAATAGACCGTTTTATAGGACTTAATTTATGGGACCAAAATATAAAGCATCCTATATAAATGTGTTGTAATAAATTCATGTGACGCTTTTGGGCGTATTAACAAGTTTTTTAGGACATTTTTAATACAAAGTGTCGCATTAGCAATTTCATATGACACTTTTGAAAAAATGTCCTATAAACTAAATTTTTTATAGGACACTTGTTTTTATAGGACAATTTTTCAAATAGTGTCCTATAAAGTTGCTAATTGGACGATTTATATTAAAAGTGTCCTAAAAAATTATTATGACGTCAAAAAACGTCATATAAACTTATTACAACGTCTTTAGATAGGACACTTTATTTTTATTTTTATTTTTATTTGGTCGTATAAACTAAATCCTATAAAGAGGTCTATTATGATGTTTAGAAATTGGGAGTGTCCTATAAACCCGATTTTGTTGTAGTGGTTTATGTCAATATAATACGGTTTTAACTTTAAATGGTTTTGAGAAAGCGACAATGTTTTTATTTTGAATAAAATATAAATTTAAAATAAAAATACATCGATATTAGTATCAAACATTAACTATTTAAAAGTTTTTCGTTTTTTGTGTAACTTTTTTAATTTAATTTCTTTTATTATATTTTAATTTAAGTTTAATAACAAAGTAATTTATTTTTAATTTAATAATAAATTTTTTTATAAAAATAATAATTAAGTATTTTGTTAGAACTTAATGATTATATATCCTAATTATATTTCAAATTTTTTATATTTAAAAATGATATATTTATCATGTATTTGATCATGTTTATTTACAGTTTGTTACACGAATTCAAACATAGAGCTTTAATAAGTTGTACTTACGTACAATTTATTAAATTTTAAATAATATGCATCAATAAACAGTATTTCATATATACAAATTAATTTTTAAGAATTTTTATCAAATGTTTTATAATATAATATAAATATGGATAGATATATTTGGAATTCTCCACATCTGGATATTGAAGTGAATTGTAGATGTAACATTTAATCATGTCACAATTAAGTTTGTTAGACAATTATAAGGGTTTTTGACAAGAATAAAGGATGGTTTATAAACACTTATCTGTTAAGTGTTTATCGGTAAAATTTAATATTATTATTTACTTGGCGGATAAGATTTTAGTCCACTAAAACGATATCGTATGCAACAATTTACCCGGTAAGCACTTACCATGGTAAGAGTCGTCGCACTCACTTACCGGATAAGACTCTCGGTCTTTGTCTCCCTCTTACTGAGTAAGATTTTTGGTCGTTACCACATTCATCCGGTGAGGTAATGTTACTTGGTAACCACTTACCTGGGTAAGCGTTTGGTAAACGGCCCCTTAGATCATTTTACAAGTCTTATGAACTTTTTTTTTAAACTGATAAATAAGGTTGGGTTCATATGAGACCATCATGTTTTCGTAAGACCCGTGTGACCATTTTTTTTGCACTTGAAACTTCACAACAAAACACTGTAACGGTAAAAAAAAAAAAAAAAACCGAACATTCACAGCAAAAACACTGTGAAAGTTATCTTTATAATGTTTTGCTGTGAAGTTTCAAGTGTAAAAAAATGATCACACGGATCTTATGAAAACAATCTGATGTCACGTGATCTCATGTATTAATTGATACCTTTAAATGAATACCTAATCGAAAGGGACATTTTGGCATGAGCACACGACATTCAAGGCCCATCCCGTACGTGAAACTTTATGTGTAACACGAGTTTTGTATGCTCTTTTAGCAATTATTTTTGACAATTAAATGTCACATCATTTTATAATATTTTATATTTTAATCAATTATAACATAAAACTTACAAGTAAATTGTTTATTATAATTTATTACCAAAAAATAATTTATTAATTTGAATTATATATAGAGTAAGTTTCAGATACAAACACTATAATAAAATCGGGTTTGTAGGACACTTCCAATTTCTAAGCATCCTAATAGACCTCCTTATAAGACTTGGTTTATAGGACCAAAAAAATAAAGTGTCCTATCTAAACGCGTTGTAATAAGTTTATATGACGTTTTTTGACATCGTAATAAGGTTTTTAGGACACTATTAATATAAAGCGTCTCATTATCAACTTTATAGGACATTATTTGAAAAACTGACATATAAAAAATTGAGTTTATAGAACACTTTCTCAAAAGTATCATATAAAGTTGCTAATGCAACACTTTATATTAAAAATATCCTAAAAATTTGTTAAGACGTCCAAAAGCGTCATATAAACTTATTACAACACCTTTAGATATGACGCTTTATATTTTGTTCCTATAAATTAAATCCTAAAAACGGTCTATTGGGACAATTAGAGATTGTGAACGTCCTATAAACCTAATTTTGTTGTAGTGATGTTTTTAAAGCATACCACTCCCATTGAAATCTTAATTCGTTCCTACAATCTCTCTAATCCAACTAATGTCATTATAATCTCTCTTTTTCAAAAAGCAGATAGCCATTGTTGATTTCATATTTAATGGGTGGTTTTGACTCAATATTCCTTATAATCATCGTCAACTTCCCTTCCTCAAAGCTCAGTTGCTTCTTTTTCAAGGTAAGCTTCAACCTCATGTGTTTCGACCATTGCTTCTGATTAATTTATGATTTGTATCGATTTTTGCTTCTTACTTTTTGACTCATTACGTATTAATTCTTTATGGTTTCTTTATTTTGTTTTTTGTCGGTTTAGGTTTACTTTCTCGGAGCTCGATTCTTTCTCATCCCCACATCTTGATTGTTTCTCTTTCAAGGCAAGCTTCAACCTTATGGGTGGCTGTATTGATCGACCATTGCTTGATTGATTTACTATTTGTATTGATTTAAATAGAATTGTTTTTGATGTATTATGTTATGGAACACAAAGTTCACATAAATGATTTGACAAAAACTCTTAAAAACCAATTTTTATATATAAAATACTATTTATTGACACATATTAATGTATCTGAGAAGCTGGGTGGTGGTGGTCCAAGGTTGAACTAATGGATTCAATTAATTAAAGAATAAAAATCCATCTGGGTCCCCAATTCTGGCTTAAAAAAGATCCGGACTGTACCGGTCTTTATCTAGTCCGGAAAAAGACCGATCCTTATCTAATCCGACCTGGAAGAATATTGTCCGAAGAAGCCTGAAGCCCAAACACAAGCCAGACCCAAAGCACGATCAGGTCATTTTTTTCAAACAAAGGGCCGATCAAGCCTATTTTCACACCCAACGCCTAGGCTCGACCCACCCCATGCCCAAAAAAACCAAAGCTTTTGGCCTGTTTGGCTTTTTGGTCCGATAAGTTTACAAAAAAGTTAACGAATTTAAAAAATCCAGATGGGTCTTTAGCCGGTCCAAAAAGTGGCTGGACCCATCTTTATCTAGTCAGAAAAAGACCGGTCTTTATTTATTCCAAAACAGAGACCGATCTTTATCGGGTTCGACTCGAAAAAATCTGGTCCAAAAAAGGACCTGGTCCCTAAAAATTATACCATTAAGTAGATGCATTCACATGTGAAGGATTGTAGTGTGCCCCAAGAATCTAATTTGAACTTGAAACAAGATTACAATCATAAACTGCTTCTAACTGTGATGAATGCATTCTACTCATTTACGGCAAATTTGTCGATACAACATAATAATGTGATATAGAACCCAGATGTCGACAAAAAAATCTCAAATCGGGTAGAAGAAACCGTACGTTACCTCTTGAAAACGAGCTTTTTCGGGATTTTGTTTGTGTGGTATATCCAAGTTCTCGAGTATAGCATCCGAAGTTTGTACTACAGTACCTTCTTTGAAACGGGTGTAGTAGCTTGCTTTAGAGCTCTATCGTGGCTCAGCATCGAACTCACACTCTCCACCACCAAGATAATCTGTGAAATTGGAAATACAATGCCGTTTTTGGTCAATGGCAAGCGGATACTATAGATACAAGTTCTTTTATGACGTAGAACATGATATTTGGTGTTATAACCTCCGGATAGAAGTTCAAATGAGAACCGTAAAGGCGTAAATATTCTGAGAACCAACTATTTCATGACTTATTCATGATAAATAACCCTAAAATATTCATGAATAATAACCCTAAAATATTCATGAATATTATTCATTATTTGAGCAAAAAAGGTTGATCCAGCAACCCCTACCGGTCCCACGTGGAACCCGTCCCCTAGGAATTACACGTGAGGAGGCATTTCAGAGTTGCTTCAGCGGTTGAGGCTGACGGAGAGGTTCAAGCCCGTCTGCCGCAGGATTCGAACTCGAACCTGTCGTGTATTTGAGTGAAGTCTCTCTACCTCTTTGCCAACTAAGCTACACGCCCGAGGGCGAATATTAGTCGTTATTATTATCATAATTTTCATTATTCATGATATTCATCATGAATATTTATCACGATATTCATCTTTAATAACTCATGAATAGTTAATTGGTTCTGAGGTTTTCAAAATATTTATGATTCTCATTTGAAACTCTGCCCCTATAACCTCTACCGGAAGGAAATTAAGACGGTTTCACTTTGGAAATTCCGGTAAAGGTCGCAACATTTCCTTTTTGCCAATTGTCAACGTTACTAAAAATGTTGAAATTTTTCATAGGGCGGAGCGATTAATGCTTCTTTTCCTTTTTTCTTTTGGTGAGCTGTAGAGATGCACGAAAAAGCTCAGGCCCAGATCAGGCCTTGAAGCCCGATCAGGCTAACTTTTCATTTCAAGGCCCGATTAAAATCCCGTCCTGAAAAGTCCAATCAGGACTATTTTCACACCCAAAGCCCGGCCCGGCAAGACCCGGGACCAAAAAGACCTGGCTTTTTTTGCTTACCCAAAATGGGCTGGGAAGTCCCGGGCCCCAAAAAAACAGGACTACTTAAAAATCAAGCCACAAAAATCGACCAACCTGAAAGCAGGCATAAGCCATTGCAGTAGCGAAGTAAAAGTTTGCATTGCCCGTTCCCTGCAAAATTCATCGGGTTAAAACTTAATCAAGTTACAGAGAATGTAAGTGAACCAATTATTCCGACATTACAAGAATCGTACCCTCCATATCCACAGGTTGTGCATCACTGGGCTAAGAAGTAAAGTCCCCAGATACCCAGAGAAAAGGAAAAATGAGAATTGCATATCTGCCAGAAAAATATATATACAGATCGTAAGATTTTGGTGCCAAATTTAAGTTCAATGCGTCAAAACAGAAAAACATGGCGTGGAATAAATGGTTCAAATATTTTCTGTAATATAAATATTATATACAGGGCAGGTTCATTTAGGAACCTTAAATAACTTTAGGAACCCCGGAACCACCTATTCTGCGAATATTCATGATGAATAACATCTGTCACGGCATTCATCGTGAATATTTTATCACGTCATTCATCATGAGTACCCACAAAAAAGGTAGTTCCTGGGTTCCTAAAATATTTAAGGTTCCGAAATGAACATCCCTCTATTATATACTTCATATATATACAAGTGCTTCAATCAGTTACCAGCTAGTGCATTCACAAACAGGCCCAGCAGACCCAAGTAAAGAGCCGAATCCCCAACCTGTCCTTGTCAATGGAAATCAATTTAGAGAAACAGTCGATTACGATGACTATATTTTCGATGAGAAATATCTCAGAAATATGAAAATGAAAACAATTGTAGTTTGGGTAACTGGCAAGAGATTCGTGAAATAGAGAAATTTGCAATGCAATATAGATGTAAGATTATTTTTCATTTCATCCTGATATAGAGAAATTTGCAATGCAATATAAACTTGCTAAACATTGTTTGGTATGCGGGACAGAACAAGGCAGACCAAGACGAAACCTTGTTATCCCATGTGTAGCGTGGTATTAGACTGGGAAAGGACGTTTTTTGTCCCACCAAATCAGGGAGATGAGACAAGATCAGTAAAATACTAAACTGCTATGTCAAATTAAAACCCTAAAACCTTCCACAATACTTTCACTGGTCAACCTCACTCTCGTCTGTCCAATCCTGTCCAGCCAGTCCCGTCCCGACCGTGTACCAAATGCACCCTAAAAGAACTAAACCGGCCACATCAGCTTTTTTATAAAAATCCTTCAAAGCCTACAAGGAATGAAATACAGTGATCAAATCTGCGCTTCTAATTGAAAGATATATCATATATGGTGCAATGTTCTGTATTATCAACGGTGTTTAGAAAATGGGATTTTCAAAAACATAAAAGTGTGAATCTATTGATTACCCAGAGTTGCAATGAAACCAACAAGCATATCAACATGTATTAAAGAAAAGAGCATTTTCAATAAAGTTTTTCCAGGGGTTCCATCCCCTTTTCCAAAAAAAAAAACATGTATTAAAGAAAAGGTTCAGCATCGAGGTAAAAGAGTTCGTTAAATACATCTTAGGGACTCTATACTAGTGGTGATAGTTCCAAATGAAGCTTAGGTCAAATATAATGAGTGTAAGCTGTTGCATTAGGAAACATTATAACTCGTTCACATAACAAAATCATGAAAGAAGATACTTTAGTAATGATGAGCTTTCGTTTGTAACTAAGAAATAGCGGGAAAATAAGGATGAAGAGAGGTTTGGGGAAAATACTAAAGAACTTACGGAAGGGTAGGATTTAAGGACCGAAGAGATTGCAATGTAGACAAATGCAAGAAAGCAAGGACGATGGTGTAGCCGTATAGCAAGTGGCAATACCATGAAAAGAATATTTATATGGAATACTATCAGGAAGAAATCTCTGAAAAAATCGAAAACTTCTGCAAAGAAGTACCTGTATTCACACAAAAAAATCATCAAAACAACTTAATTATAAGACGTAGTCCACAAATCGCAACCATCATAAAAGAAAGTATGTACTCACCACAAGAGACCGATGTTTGGAGATAAATCTTCTACACTGAGAATAAACCCGTACGTTCTGCCAGTATTAATCCATATTAAAAGAATATATGTTAACAAAAGGATGGTAATGAAAGTATTAGGAAGCATATAAACTGGACACACCGAAACAAAGTGAGGAAAGAAAATACGGTTTTCATCACAGTTACGAGCACATAAACTGTGCTTCCACCAATCTGAAACAAGCTAAACATATTGATCAAAGTCCATGGAACTTCAAGTAAGACCTCAAGTTTGGAGATCAACCATGCACATGTGGATACTATCAACCATGCACATGCGAATACTATCAACCATGCACATGCAAATACTAGGATGTACCTTTTAAACATCTCCCCAAGACCACTGAACTCCTTAAGAGAAATGCTACACAGAACTAGTACATAGAATGCCCAAACAGAAGCCCAGAAAAAGAAAAGAACAACTCGTCTCCACGAGAAAACTATCAGATTTGATGTTCCATTTGTTGTTCCCTTATGCTTACGATGGGTATCACTCGAGAGTTCATTTTGATCATCACCATACTTATTTTGCACAAATAGTTTCCTTGGTGGTGTATCGAGACCAGAACCTATTAACAAAACCAACTGAAACGGAAAAACGGAAAAGGTCAAGTCAAAGCATTGAATGTTGATGTGCTAGAAGAAGAGGAATGGCACAAAGAAAGACATACGGGAATGACTAGAATAGCAGGATAGAGGGACAAATGAGATGCTATCACCCATCCAAACGCGGCCAAGGGAACCAGTCCTGTTGCAGTTAGAATCAAAAAAAATCAATGGGATTTGTTAGTACCTAATATATAGCATTATTAAAAGTCCAATATCAAAGGCGGGCATAGAAATTTTTTCAAGTGGTGGCACCATTTGACTATAAGAAAATGAAGCTATCGATAGTTTTTTTGTAAAATCATCATTGATCTGTTGGTTAGTTCCTTGCTTTTTGTATGTGAGGTCCGTTCGAGTCTTTTATCCCAAAAAATTTCAGAAACATAATAAGCTTGAAACTAAAAGCTAAGAACTAAGTAAATTGATACAAAGGGAATTCGAACCCGCCCCTAGAAATGGAGAAAATGCCCTGCAAACCAACTTTATCCAAGAGAAACTAGTGTTATTGTTGTAGTTTCAACGAATATGTAGTTGCATAGAGGCGGACCTAGAAGTTTTTTTTCAAGTGGTGACACCATTTGACTATAAAAAACGAAGCCATAAGCCTATAATTTTTTTTCTTATAAAATCATCATTGGTTTGTTGGTTAGTTCCTTGTTTTTTGTATGTGAGGTCCTATGTTAGGGTCTTTTATCCCAAAAAAAAAATTCAGAAACATAATAAACCTGAAACTAAAAGCTAAAACTAAGAAAATGATACAAATGGAATTTGAACCCAAGCCTAAAGGGAGAAAAGACCGTGCAAACCAACTCTACAAAAATAAACTTGTGCTATTATTGTAGTTTCAAGGAATATATGGTTGCATCCAACAAAATAATATGGTGGCACCTTTCACGACCCTAAAAATTTTAACCCTACAAAGCAGTGGCCCCGTGCCACTGTATGCACTATAGTGGGTCTGCCCCTGTCTAATATAACATTAATCATGCATTAGAAGATGGTTGACAAGGCCTTACTCTTGCAAGCTCCATACAGAGACAAAACAATCATAAGATTTTCAATTGGTGCCGTTGAATACCCCAAACAGGTGATGATCGTCAAAGGATTCCATAAGTACACAAGGGCAGCTATATCACCAGACGGAAAATTTTCTACATAAACAAAGAATGTTAGTTTTTCTTAGGATAAAGAAACAAAAAAGCCGCGGTAAATCTGGCATAAGGGAGTGTTTAAATGTCTCAGTGGGAGGAAAACCTGAAACTTTCAAAAGTCTACCAGCTCCTAACGATTTCAGACTCTGGCTATCGGCTATTTGAAGAAGCTGACCAATTGACCGTATAAGCATTGCAGTGATGAAATCTGCAACAACAAATGCCAGACTGTATCCAAAAATATGTTTCGTATCAACAATGTAACTAATATATATACTAGAAGCCGATAACAACAAATGAACAAAAAAGTGACAACATTAACCGAGCAGCGATAAGTATAAACATTTGAATGTTCGTCTGAGCAGTCTCTTGACCCTTTATCTCTTTGATATTTTACTTATTATCATAGATTTTACCACCTTACCCACTTCAAATTACATCCATATAAAGATTTAGACATTTATGATCACTATTTAGTCAAACCTAATAAGACTTTTGCCTAAATTGTTAAAAGACCTTAGGGTATGTGATCAAGTTTCATTCCAGATCCCCCCCCCCTTTCACATACCATTGTATTTGAGCAATGATTTTAAAAATCGTTTGAAGCATACACCTCAATGCGAACAGCACCTGAGGCAGCGCTCTTGGACCCTGGACGAGGCTTACGCCTTGGTTCATTGAGGCGGTTTGGTGAGAAGTAACGCGTGAGGCTTTGTCTAGGCGTATGCCTCAGATGATCTGCTTTGGTAATGGTATTTTTGGCTTTTTTATAAGCTTTATGGCTTCTTATTTTTAGAAACTAAAAGTCAAAGCCCAGCGACCCCAATGTGTACTTTTAATATTTTAAAACCCAAAAAGCAAGTATTTTCTCCTCTCAATCAAAAAATGTGGTTTGACCCTTCCTCTTCCTCCAAGCAACCAATTTTTCCTCACCTTCTCAGCCTATCTCACGGTTTCACTCTTTCCTCTGTCAAGAACCACTCAACCATTGCCCCTAGTAATTTGGTAATATATATATATAATATTTTATATATATTATATATTGTATATAAATATATATTTGGGTGGTATATATATACATATTTTGGTGTATATATATTTCCGCTTCGGGGCTTACGCCTCGGACCACCTCGAGGCCCGGTTCTGCCTTTTAAAACCTTGATTTGAGCAAAAGGTTGATTACCGGCAAGGCAACCCCTAGCGGCCCCACACAAAACCGCCCCTAGGAACCACATTTGAGGACGCATTTCAGAGCTAACTCAGCGGCTGAGGCTAGCAGAGGGGTCCAAGCCCGTCTCCCACAGGATTCGAACTTCTTCAACCTGTTGTGTACTTGAGCAAAGTCGCTCCGACCCTTTGCCAACTGAGCTACACGCCCGAGGGCCACAAACTCATGCCCTAAGGTCATGTCTCACAAGTGAAAAACATGTATAATGGTTGGTACACAACAACACGTCTTCCTGGTTTTCCATTTTATTTGGCTTCACATGCAAGGAAAAAAAAACACAGGATAGAAATTTACCTGAATAATAGATGGCTTCGCTGCCCTTCACCTCTGCGGACCCGGCAACAATCAATTTATCAGTACACTAATATCAGATAATATGACACAAAGTATTACCCTTCCATTTACATAAAGATGATCACCAAACTAAGCTCCAAAATGATAAAACTAAAACTCCAGGAATGATTTTAAAGCCAAACACACTAAATATTAATATAATTTTCTTTTCTTTCTACAAAATGATAAATACAGAAATGCAAAAAAGAGAGCAGGAAGGAACAAATATAGTGCTACAAATATGAAAATCAAACGGTACTAAATTTGGCACCAATTGTTTTATCTCTGCAGTGTTTCTTCTGGTCTGCTAAAAGATATACATTTTGACATTCAAGTTCAAACTAGCATTTCATAAACCAGGCACCAATTGTTTTTGATCTGCAGTGTTTCTCATATATTTTGATATAATTTGTCACGTTATAATATTAGTCAGATTGATCACGGAACTCAAAACTGTCTCTTAAAGTCTCATTTTTCTTTTTCCTTAAATCACGAGGTGGGTGATGAGGAATGACTATGAATCATCAATGATCATATATTGTGTTGTTAGTGCTACAATATGAAATCAAACGCTCCTAACTACAGAATATATGATCATTACTAACTCAAAATCATTCTTCATCAACCACTCTCTAAAAAGGAAAAAGCAGACTTTGGAAGACGTTTTGAGTTTCGCAATCAAACAAACGAAAAACATATTTTCATGTGACATGACATATTACATCAAAATCTATGAGAAACCCATATACAAATCAATTGGTGCCATATCTCTGGAATGCCGGTTTGAACTTGAATATCAAAATGTATATCTTTTAGCACACTAGAAGAAAAACATAATGCACATAATTATTCCATTTGACCACAAATTACAACACATTTTCCACATCTGAATAGAAATCATGAACTCTATCATTCGTTTATATACCTATCAATGGTAAGAGGACCAAGTATCGATAATAAAAGAGGAGATCCATGGTACATTGAACCTGTAATCAATCAAATTTTATGAATTATGAAATTAAACGAATACAAGCATACACACACACACATATAACAGAAGCGTTTGAAGAAATCATCGAAGATACAAACCAGCATAAGGCGACATCGAAGACTGCTTTAGCCAATAACCTTCCGCCACTGCAACAATCAACATACAGAGATTGGTTACTGAACTGATTCAATACAGTAAAAGAAATTGAAGTGTGTGGGGGATTAGTGATTACGGCGGCGAATGCTGGTGAGCGGGGTGGAGATTTCGGGACGAGAGGAGAAGTTGAGAGTATTGGGGAAATAGATGATGAGTACTAATCGTGTTATTATTGAAGCTACGGCGGAGGTCCAAAACCATGGCTGCTTCTTCGTTGATTTCTCCATTTTTGGGGCTTGTTTCCGATCGAAGAACGGTGGACCGGTAGGCTTTGTGTTTTCCTTTCTGCCTGTCTGACGACGTCGTTTCTATTAAGAGCACTTCCCGCATTCTAATCGCTTGCCAATAGTTTTTCATCCAAATAAATCTTTGGAAAAATTGCACCAAAATAAACCAACTTTTACATTATTCTTATTTTGGGGAATGAATTTTTAAAATCGTCATTTTAGGGAACCAACTTTCACCTGATTTTTATTTTGGGGAACCAACTTTCAAAATCGTCATTTTGGGGAACCAACTT